CATCAAGAACAGAACAGTATTTTAAGCAGCCTTATTGTTATGAGCTTACAGAATTAAATTTTAGTTTAACATTAATACATTAAATTTTGACCTTATCAACTTAGTTAATCAACTAAGTTGACTAACTCAACTTAGTCACTTATAGAAGCATTTCAAAGTTCCATCTTTTTATGGCAACTTAATCTGTACCTTTATGGCAACATACACTGGACCCCCTTTGGAAGCTTGTCCTTATCTTTTTTCCCCCATTTTGAGACACTTTTAAGTACCAAGCTTTTTTATACAAAATCCTTTTTTTTTCTTTCTAAAGTCCTTTTATTTAAAAACAGCCACATCATTAATAACTTCTATATTTCTTGGTTATTTATAACTTACATTCTTTTAACTTAAAACTTTCTATTAGTCTGGGAAAAAAACAGAAAGAAAGCAACCTTAAAATTATTTTTTTGTATAAAAACAAGTTATAGAAATTCCAGTTGTTGCTAGACCCATGTATTATCAGAGAGGATTAAAGCCAGATTTTATTTACAACAGAATGAAATAGGCTAAGCTCATTTCTTTAGCTACCAAAATTCCAATTTTTGCTTCAAGCTTGTGGCCAGGGTTTTAAAATGCCACTTTTTTTTTCTTTTGCTCTGTGCTAGTGTTAATCCCTGAGTGTCTGCATCTTAGTGAAACCTGACTGAAATGAGTTTGAAAACTGGCTTTGTTAAAAGTAGCAGTAAAAGTAACAATTTTTACATTAACTCTACAATAAGAACCATCTCAAGATGTTTATATATTTATATGCAAAAAAAAAAAAAAAGACCTTAAGCAGTTTACCATAGAGATCTCCAACATAAACACACTGGGTTTTTTGTTACATTATCACTGGAATTTTCCTCTTTCTGATTTTTTTAAGTTTTTTTTTTTTCTTCTGGAGCTAAAGCCTGCAACACAGCTAATTACACTGCATCTTTGTAACATTTTCTACAAAGTTTAAGTTTTCCCTCCTTTCTGTAGAATAAGTCTAGTTGTAGGATGGTGTTATAGTCTATGTTTTCCCCTTCTGGCCAACACTCTTGGTCTCCCAAAGGATATTTAGGCCAAGCCTGGGTGCAGTAGAAAATGAGGACCTTTTTCCTTAGGTTCTCAGGGTTAAGATTTTTCCAGTGCCTTAATAAGCAAATGTAGGACAGATCCCTAGAGAATTTGGGAATATTGAACTGCCCTCCAGAAGAGGGATAAGGCAAACTGGCATTCTAAGGAGGGTTTCATGAGCCCAGGCATCCCCAGGGCCACAGACCTGGTTCCACCACTGGGAACCACACTCCTTTGGGAAGAATGTGTCGCTTTTTCCTCTCTCCTTCCACCACTGACATCCATGGCCAGGGTAGTGGGGAAGACATTTGGGTCTGCCAGGGTTGTGACCACCATTGCAGGTGTGACCTTGACCAAATCTTCACTTATTTATTTTATAACCTTGTATATCTAGATATTTTTCAATTATTAAGAGCCTCTAGTTCCACAATATTCTATTGAAAAGGTTCCAGGATGACTGGAAGGGCTAGCATAGATAGGGGAAGAATTCCTTCCCTAAGGGGCGACCACAGGAACATGTTCTGCCAGGTGCTGTGTATAGTGCTCACTGTGTTACTATGACTTTTGCATTTTTTATCAGGCTTTCTTGAGGATTTCTCCTTCCTCCTCAGAAGACTAGAATTTCAACTCTAAGGGAGAGAAATCCTGCTCCCATTTGTCCTTAGTGGGGAGGGTCCTAAAACAGCTGTGTCTGCCTGAAAAGTCATGCTGCAGGTCAGTCAGAAATGTTTTTATTATTTTTTCCTGGAATATGATATTTAACCTATAACAAATGGATGGCTTTTTTATTCTTTTTAGGGCCTGTAAATGAGCCCCTTTCATCAGGAAGTAAAACTGAAAAATGCCTAATCCTTTTTAAAATTTCCCTCCCTTTGCAATGACATGTAAATAGAAGAACAAGAAGCAAGAGGGTTGTGAGGGATCCTTAGTGAGTGAGCTGACACACTCCAGCACCTTTAAACTGGCAGCTCATGTTATTTACATGCAACTGGCTGTCAGGTGCCAGGTTTTTAAGATTTAAAAAAGGTTTGTTTAAGCCCCAGGAGGGCTTGCATCAAGAGGAGGAGAATGCAGGCTGGGCTGCTCCCAGATAATGTCTGCCTAGGAAATATTGTTGATAAACTCTTCCCTCAGGGTGGTTTTGACTCAAATCTGACAGAAAACTATCTGCCCACTGTTGCCTAAGGCAGAAGGGACTGCTACTCATTTTGATCTACTTAGGAAATTAAAAGGGATAAAACCGAAAGTTGAGAGAAAAGCCTCAGTGCACTGAGATTTCAGCTCCACCCACATAGCATTGGCAGTCCAGTATACCCGCCCTGGCTGGTCCCCAATCTCTCAGGTGTAGTGGGCTCAGGGCTTTCTCCCCAGATTCCTGAGGGAGAAGCCATCCTTAATGAAAGAGAGAGAGAGAGAGAGAGAAAGAGAGAGAGAGAGAGAGAGAGAGAAAAGTTGGTCTGAGAGCTCCACCATACTTTCTAAATTTTCACTTTCTAGCATACTTTCTAAGCCAATAATCATGGCCACTTCCTAGGTATCCCCTCCAGTTTGTCACAACCTGTACTGTCCTCCCATGAAGAAGATGGGTCCCTTCATGGTTGCCAACATGATACACTGGAATTCTCAGGTAGTGAGAGTCCATGTTCCATGGCTTAGATAGAAATCAAAGGCAGGAACTCAAGCAAAGATCAAAGAAATTTAATTAGCAGAGAAGTGATAGAAAAGCTGCATGGAGAGGTGTGCAGTGGGACCCAGAATCCAGTAGTCCTCTGAGTTGGGTTGGACATCTGGTCTTATAGTTTTTTTGTTGCTAGTGGGAGGAGTATATTTTGGTGCAAAATTTTGGCATGAACAAGTGTCTCTTCGGAAGGAGACAGGGTGTTTCCTTCCCTGGCTAATCTCCATCATTGGAGAACACATGGACCTCCCTCAGTCCACCCTTCAGTCTCTTCAACAAATGTTGCTAGGAAAACTGGATGTCTTCATGCAGGAAATTGAAACTAGATCCGTGTCTTTCACCCTGTATAAGTATCAGTTCAAAGTGGATTAAAGATCTTCATATAGTAGCTGTAAATTTGAAACTGTACAGGAAAGAGTAGGAATACACTGGAATTTATAGGCACAGGCAATAATTTCCTAAATAGAGCTCCAATGGTTCAGCAACTAAGAGAAGGTATTGAAAAATGGGAGTCCATGAAACTTCTGCAAAACAAAAGAAACATTCATCAGATTGAAGAATGGGAGGAATTCTCTGGCGGGTATACATTTGACATTATTGGTATGTAATAACCATAATATACAAGGAGCTCAAAAAACTAAATTCCAAAAAATTCAATTGCCCAATGAAAAAATGGACAAATGAACTGATCAGAGTTTTTTCAAAGGAAGAAGTCCAAATGGCCCAAAAGCACATGAAGAAATGCTTCTCATCTCTGACCAAATATTGGCAAATTTTACCATGGAAATACAGAAATATTGCTATAAGTCAAAAATTGCTTCATAGCATAACACATCAAAAGCAAATCACAGCTGGAAAAATATAATTTCATGTATAATGATAAAAGATAATTTTACTCCTATGCAATATTATCATAAAAAATCAGTTTGGAAAAGGTCAGCAACCAGAGAAAAATGGTCAAATAAAATGCAAATCATTTTAAATCATGTGAATTAATGCTCAAATTATGTGAAATTTAGTGAATTTCAATTAAAGTATCAAATTGTCCTATATCAAATGTCATTATTAAGAGCAGTCTGTTGAGAATGTGGACAAGTGAATATTCTAGTAGACCAGGAGTAGTATTGCATCTTTCAACAAATTCGTGGATGGTATTTAGGAAATAAGTACAACTATCACCTTTCTAAATTTGTGTACCTGTTGACTCACACTACAGCTTCCAAAAACTCACACCCACATATTCAAAGAGTTTTGTGTAGAATTATTTATGCAAATAATTGGCAACCAGTAGATGAATAAAAAATGTTTCAAATTAATCACAACATAATAAAGGGATATGATAAAGGGAAAACTGAAAATGAGGTTTATTTATGTGAACTGCTATGTAAAGATCTTCAGGTTGTTGAAGAGTACTTATCAATTTTAGATACAGAAATATAGCTACTCAGACTCATATATAAGTATGCTTGTATTGGTCCAGAATAAATACTTCACGAATCTTAGAAATATAGTATGACACTGTATCTGGGATACCACTGGCTATGGTGAGGGATGAGATTTTATTTATAATTTATTTCATGTTGTATGGGCTTTGTTTTTACTAACATACTTTCTATTCCATATTTTAAAAAGTAAGAGTACTACAATAAAAATTCATAAGTAATTCAAATACAGGCAAGTAAGAAGAATAGTGTGCAAAGCAATACATATTTAACTAGTATAATAAAAAGAATGAAAATTTTAGAAGAATCTAATAAAAAGACAAAGTAAGTGATACAAATAAATGCATTAATTTAAATAATTTAACTTAAATTTTTAATTAAAATTAAGCTTAAATCTAACTTTAAAACAATTTGAAAAGTAAAATATTTTAAAATAAATCTAATTATAAAAAATTTCATTCAATAGCTGATTACATACTATTTATTAACCCCCTACCATCCATGAACTGTAACTTTTCAGGTGTACCAATAAACAATGTGTTGTAGAGCTCAAGTTATTAGAATGTGTGACTGAGAGTGCAAAACATATAGTTAGTGTTTTATTCATACTTATCATAAAGTGTTGGATTGAAGGAGGCTATTATCTGATTTGAGAAGACTTCTCAGTGCAAATGACTGTGCTCAACAGCAAAATGACTCTCCTCATGGTGGGTGACTCACTTATATTCTGTTGACAGGACTTTTCTTTAATAGAGCGCCTTCTTGGCATTTGCAATCTCTGAGTTTCTCATAGAACACATTTAGGGGTTCAACATAGGAGCTTTGACTGCATAAACACACTCACTGATAACGATTTGTCAGTGGAAAAATGTAAATGGCTTTTGATAGCTCCTTTGAAGGTGCTGGGTTCCTGTCATTATAGTGACATGTAGACTGAGATGGTCATTTTTGAGGAATACATTTTTATAAAGATAAACTACAATCATCACCACAGAAGCTAAGAATAAATCAGTGTTCCTGTGTCTACCTATTAATCATTGTTTTCTAATTTTATCTAATATCACAATACGACAAGTAGATATATTTTATAAAATATTAGAAATTATTTCAAACAACCCCCCTGATTTTAGAGATGATATTATTTATTCAGCAAATTCAAAAGAGTTTACTGAAAATCTCTCATACTTAATAAGGGAGTTAAGTTTCAGGTCAAACACCATAAATGCTAATTACAATCATTTGAAAAAAATAACATAGAAAGCATAAAAGAAGTTAATCCAAATAACAAAACATAAACTAAAACCAAAAATGTGAATGATCTACCTGATGAAAACTATACACATGCAGAAACTATTGAAGGAATGTAAAGACCTAAACAAATAGAGATATTTCACGTTCCTTAATGGAATGATTCAATATGGTTAAAAAGCCAGTTCTTATCCAAATTAATAAAACTTTTAAGTCATTGTCATTGAAAGACTCTACTAGATTTGTCTAACTTCTTGAAATGATTCCAAAATTGAAAAATATGATTTTAATAAGAGTATTGAATTGGGGAATCTTTTATTACATGTGAAAATCCACTTTCTTGACCTAAAATAATAGGGAATAATGAATTAAGCAAGTTAACATAGTATTACAAATTTTCTTTCATTTTTCTCCATGTGGTACTTCATATTTGTTTTTTATGTGCCTTATATGAACTTTTAATCATCTACAAGAACAGGAATTACAGCTTATCAGGGTTCTTTGCACTGCATTCCAGAACAACACTTGATGGATACATATTCAGTTCCTGTTTTCACTTTTTTTGTTAGTACCAATTTTAATTTTAATTTTATTTTATCATTTTTACATTTACTTACATGTGTATATATTATTTGTCCCCCCAACTTCCAGGCAGAACCTGTTCCACTCTCTTGTTCTCCAATTTTGTTGAAGAGAAAACATAAGATATTAAGAAAAAACATCTTGTTTTTGCTAGTTTGAGATAAAAATAGCAATACAGAGATATTCCTAGTGTTGTTACTACACATATGTATATTACAATCCATATTGGTTCATTTCTACCATAACTCTTCACTACTTTCTAGACTCCTTCCCATAGTGGCCTCTGTAAGTTTCAGATTACTTTTTTCACTCCTATACAGTGAGCATATCAACCACATTCAAGTATTAGGTTTCCTTTCCTTTCCCTATTCCTCCCATGTGCATTCTCCCCTTACTGTGTGATCCAGTCCAATAATATTGCTGCATTTATTTTAGATCTATAATCGGCATTAAAGGATAACATGCAATTTTTGGCCTTCTGAGCTGAGTAACTTTGCTTAAGATGATGTTCTTCATTCCAAAAAGCAAATATTCCTCTAAAACTAGTTAAAAGATTAGATTGTTAATTGTTCTCAACACAAAAACAATGCTAAGGGGGTAATGTATATATAAGTTAGCTCAATTAATCTCTTTATTATGTATATACATTTCAAAATGACACTTGTGCATCATAAATATGTACAATTTTCTTGATCAATTCATAAGATGTAAAAGAAAAAGTATTTTATTTATTTATTTATTTATTTTTTATTGTTTTATTATTCAAATGTGCATACAAGGCTGAGGTCATATCTCCCCCCTACCCCCACCCACTCCCTTACCACCCACTCTGCCCCCACCCTCTCCCCCCCACCCCCTCAATACCCAGCATAAACTATTTTGCCCTTATCTCTAATTTTGTTGAAGAGAGAGTATAGGCAATAACAGGAAGGAACAAGTGTTCCTGGTTGAGATAAGGATAGCTATACAGGGAGTTGACTCACATTAATTTCCTGTACATGTGTGTTGCCTTCTAGGTTAATTCTTTTTGATCTAACTTTTTCTCTAGATCCTGGTCCCCTTTTCCTATTGGCATCAGTTGCTTTTAAGGTATCTGCTTTAGTTTCTCTGCATTAAGGGCAACAAATGCTAGCCAATTTTTTAGGTGTCTTACCTATCCTCACCCCTCCCTTGTAGGCTCTCGCTTTTATCATGTGCTCAACGTCCAATCCCCTTGTTGTGTTTGCCCTTGATCTAATGTCCGCATATGAGGGAGAACATACTGTTTTTGGTCTTTTGGGCCAGGCTAACCTCACTCAGAATGATGTTCTCCAATTTCATCCATTTACCAGCGAATGATAACATTTCGTTCTTCTTCATGGCTGCATAAAATTCCATTGTGTATAGATACCACATTTTCCTAATCCATTCTTCAGTGGTGGGGCATATTGGCTGTTTCCATAACTTGGCTTAAAATGGATCAAGGATCTTAATATCAGACCACAAACTCTAAAGTTGATACAGGAAAGAGTAGGAAATACTCTGGAGTTAGTAGGTATAGGCAACAACTTTCTCAACGAAACCCCAGCAGCACAGCAAACTAAGAGATAGCATAGATAAATGGGACCTCATAAAACTAAAAAGCTTCTGTTCATCAAAAGAAATGGTCTCTAAACTGAAGAGAACACCCACAGAGTGGGAGAAAATATTTGCCAGCTACACATCAGACAAAGGACTGATAACAAGAATATATACAGAACTTAAAAAACTAAATTCTCCCAAAACTAATGAACCAATAAAGAAATGGGCAAGTGAACTAAACAGAACTTTCTCTAAAGAAGAAATTCAAATGGCCAAAAAACACATGAAAAAATGCTCACCATCTCTAGCAATAAAGGAAATGCAAATTAAAACCACACTAAGATTCCACTTCACCCCTGTTAGAATAGCCATCATTAGCAACACCACCAACAACAGGTGTTGGCGAGGATGCAGGGAAAAAGGAACCCTCTTACACTGTTGGTGGGAATGTAAACTAGTGCAACCACTCTGGAAAAAAATTTGGAGGCTACTTAAAACACTAAAGATTGATCTACCATTTGATCCAGAAATACCACTGTTGGGGATATACCCAAAAGCCTGTGACACAGGTTACTCCAGAGGCACCTACACACCCATGTTTATTGCAGCACTATTCACAATAGCCAAGTTATGGAAAAAGTATTTTAAAATAGAATTAAATTAAATTAGAAATTTCTATTCATCAAAAAATAATAATGGTATAAAACAGAAGCAACAGAAATAGAGAAGACTTTGTGATACATACAAAAAAATTCATCACACCTGATAGAAAATGAAACCTAACAAGTCAATGGGAAGATATCAAAAAGAAAAATTTGGAAAAGAAATAAATAGATATTTAATTCTTTAATTCATTAGTAAATAGACAATATAAAAACTGGAAGTCTAATAAATATTTGAAAATATGTTCAAATTCAGTATCAGTAAGAAATGTCAGAATCACAACAGTCTTATATCAATTACATTCATAAAAATGTCAGCTTCTCAGAATATGAAGCATTTTTTTAGACTATGAAGTACTAAGAAGGATGTAGAGCAATGGATCAATTATTCACTGCTGGTGGAAGTACAACATATAAAATAGCGTTGGAGGAAATGCAATTGTCTGTACAAGTGAATGTATAAATGATTGTAAACAAAATAATTATTTCATGAAGTCCATGACAAGATGATATATAAAAACAAGAACAAGGCAGGTTGTCAAGGACTGAATGAATACATAATATGTGGTATAGTCACACAGGGAATTGTACACAGAAAGGAAAATAATGATGTTAAAATAACATGCATCAACAAATCAATTTGTGCAAAATTAATATTGTGAATAAAACTAAAATTTAAAACTATATTCTGTAACATTTTCATAAATGTCAATATGAGTCATTTAATGAACAACATCAGCACTATTGATACAACTGAAAAACAAAATTTTTATTTTATCAAAGTACATCCTTTTTTTTGTTTTGGTAAAGTTTATTAGGAATGGAATATACTTTCAATAGACTGAGAGTTGATTTTCTCTGGAGAGAGAGAAAAATATTGACCCCAATGTGAATTCTTTTTATGTCAAGTAAAATATTTGGGAACACTATACTTATGCAAAACAACACATTTCTTTATTGATTTCTTCAGCACCATGAAGTACAAATAAAACATGTTTTTAATGTAAAAGTGCACAAGTTAAATAATGGAGAATATTGCAAAAATTTGTGTACAACATGGCTTAGTATGATTTTCCCTAAGCAAGTATGAATGTTGTCACTAAAAACTAAAATCATCATAAACACATCTCATCTCACAAAACTTCACTGGTAGCCTTGTTAGCTAAAAACAACATCATCTGCCATCAAAATAGCATAAATGAGAAATGTATAGATATTCATGTCAAGAATGGAAGTAATCAGAAAACAGTACACATAAGGCAGGTATATGAGTTTGTTCTACTGAAAGAATAATAAAATTCCACTTTTAAACCCCTTCTTTTCTCCCATAAATCTATTACCCACATCCCTTTCTCATGAATGTGGTGATTGTAAATTGCCAAAATTATTTTATTTTCCTTTGGTTGAAAAGAATAAATGATTTACTTTGAAATTACATCTCAAACTTAAACAAAAAAACTTTACAATGTGAGCTCAGTTCCATCTTTATTGTAGTAGGACAAAACCCTATGCCTTTATTCATTTCTCTGAAGTTAGCTTTTAGATTGATAATATTCTCAATGGATGACTTGTTTTTGTTGAATAAAGAGAAGCATCCTTTCTAAATCCATCAAGGAGTGTATTTCATCCCTTGTTAGAATTTGTAGCTGGTTTGTTTGTTTAGAATTAGTATTCTGTTCAGCGTGGTATTCCACTTGTAGTAAATACTTTGCAACAGAGTTTTTTTATATAATTTTTCATCTCTGTATTTCTCAAGATATTAAAGGATTTAACATGGAAGTACCAACTGTATAAAAAACAGTCACAAATTTATCAATGGGAAAGTTGGAAACAGGTCTAACATACATGAAAATACAGGGAACAAAAAAGAGGACAACAATAGTGATGTGTGCGCTGCAGGTTGACAGAGCCTTGCATCTTCCCTCCTGACTGTGAGTCTTAATAGAGTTTAGGATAATTCCATAGGAGATTAGGAGAAAGATAAAGGCCACCATACAGATTGCTCCACCATTGGCAACTACAATGAGGCCTATGAAGTAGGTTTCAGTGCACGCAAGTTCCAACAATGGGTAAATGTCACAGACAAAGTGGTCTATGATATTGGGACCACAGTAAGGAAGGCTGTATGCAAAGACAATTTGAACAAAAGAGTGTGCAAAACCTCCAGCCCAGGGCACCAATAACAGAAGGATGCAAACTCGTCTATTCATGATGGTCGAATAGTGCAGTGGCTTACAGATGGCCACATAGCGATCATAGGCCATTGCCACCAGAAGGAACACCTCAGCACCACCAAAAAAGTGTGCTACAAAAAGCTGACTCATGCACTCAGGGAAATAAATAGTCTTTTTTTCATGGAGCAAGTCTATAATCATCTTGGGTGAGATAGTAGTAGAATAAGCAGTATCTATGAGTGACAGATAGGCAAGGAAGAAGTACATTGGGGAGACCAAGGAAGGGTTGGCAGTAACAGTCACCAGAATGGCAAGGTTTCCCACAATTGTCATCATGTAGCTGAGTAAAAATAAGATGAATAATGCTTTTTGCCCATCAGGATCCTGAGTGAGGCCAAGGAGGACAAACTCTGTGACATTATTACACTGTGTCATCATTTGGTCTTCTATAATGATTTCCTCACAGATGAGCTCATAAGAATAGGTTCTGCCATGAAGCTGTGAACAGGATTATGGTACTTTATGTCATGTTGCATGTCTTCATTATATTTTCTGTATTGGGCACCCACAGTAAACATTTATTCAACATCTACCGAGTTCTTCTTGCAATGTGCCATAAGCTAATTTGTGGATAATTCTTTATCCTATGGGATAATCTTTCTATTAGCATGTAATAATTTCACAAAAGAATTTCATCATGATATTTCCATATATGCATAGAATGTGGTTCGATCAAATTTATATCTTCTATTACCCTTTCTTATTCTCCTTATCCCCATTTTTTTTTTTTTTTTACAATTTTAACTGAATGGTCCTTTTAGGCTAAATTTTTAGGTTCTTTCACAAGGCCTTATTGGATCTTTATGGAGAATAGTAACAAAAGCATCTCAGTCTTTTATACATTTAGAACTACTTACTCAACATACGTTAATGGCACAGATGTCAGTAAGCACATAAGGAAATAATTTTTCCTTTTATGAAATCTATTAGGTATTTTTGCTAGTACATGCTAAATATTTGAACTACCATAGGGTAATGTTTCATGTTGGTGTATTTATGGAGTATAACTTTATAGCATCATGATGTAGTCAGCAAAATAGCACCTGTATCAGAGCATTGATTTTAATGATATAATATGATATTACATTATTAGAGGTCTTTCATGTCTCAATGGAGTTACACTCTTTTTATGTCTTTTATGAAATCTCAGAAGGCCTGTGTTTTAAACTGTCTCAAATAACTCCAGTAGTATTTAACACATTTCTGACCATACCAAGTACTTCATCTGAATTTGACTATCAGCTTTGTCAGAAGCTATAATTCTGTCCATTTCATCCTAGCCTATACCAATTTGTAACACATTTAAATTCATTATCATAATTTTTGGCAAAAATTTTTAAATGACCTGAACTAATCCATGACTCTCACCAACTAGTGCATCAATAACTAGTATCCCTTTTGAGACTCGTGAAGTAGCTATGTAGTTAGAGAAAATAGGAAGAGAAAAGAAGAGAACAGTGGGATATCATTTTATATATAATGATTACTTGGTACAGGGAGTGGTCCACATTGAACTTCAATGTACAGATTCCAAAAAAGCATCATATTCAAGGGCAAAGACCCACTTGTCATTAGAAAGCACAAGTTTAGTCATTTTCTAAGTATAATTACAAATAAGTCTCAGTGCGCACATTGTAAATTATAGCGGTAAACCAGATTACTTCATCATCCTTTCCAGTCCAACTCTCTGCAACACTCTAAATGCAGCCCAATCTCTTTCTATATTGCTGACATTTTTTCTTTTTTTCATATTTGCATAATCAAACACTTTCTCAGCTTATTATTGCTTCTTGAAAAATGCTAGCCAGTGGTAAAAAGGATGTGATAGCTACTGCAACCTCCTAGGACTATTTTGTTGTTGTGGCACACAAAGCTTATAAAGCACTGCTGTGACTTTATGAAATCTATATTAATAATAGCTGTTATTAATCTTCTTGAGTGCCTCACCTGAGCATTGACAGACTAAATTCTGGGGCTCTCTGGCAATTCAATAATAATTGCAAACATCTTACAGAATACAAAAATAGCATATCTATAAATCATGAACACTTTTTTAGGCATAGAATAAAATTATATGTCTTAGGAATTATTGGTTTTATTTTTTTGATATAAGGGCTATTAATACTTACCTGTGAAGTAAGTAAGAAAACACCATTCACGTGGACTTGAGGGTGGGGAAGGACATGTGCAGAGATTCTGAGCTTTCCTGGAAAGCTGGTTGTAGTAAGTCCTGTATGTTTCATTTGCAATATCCACTTGATCTGTCTCAGAAGATCTGTAGTTTTTATTCTTGAAGCTATAGACTGATTCAGGAACATCTTTTGTATAACATAAGGGTATAAAGTAGTTTAAGTCCAATTCTGTATCTTTCTTGAGTTATTTTTGCATGTGTACTGTTTTTGTTCTCATTAATTGTCAATGTTAGTTTTCAGCAAGACATAGCTTAAATTTGCCACTTTATTTATTTAAATGATAGAGTAAAAATAGAGTTTTTGAACTATTCCACATTTATGTAAACTCTGCGGTTAGTTATCAAAGATTTGATCGTGTAAAATCTGAAGGCTGTGCCTGCATTCCACTTAAACCATTAAGCAAACTTCTTCCAAAAGGAAGTTAATGCAGGTTTTAAGAACCTAGATTTTGAAAAAGTTAGACCTATTATTTCAAAATTACCCCATTAATACTTTACAATAACAAAATGATAAATCTAAGACGGACTAGAAAATTTATTTCCCTGATCAAAGATTTCCCTATGCATATATAGTAACATGTTTTCGAGGATAATTTTAAAGGTACACACACAAATCCCATATCAAACTATCAGTGTACCCCTACACTCTAATGAACTTGAGATAATATGCCCTTATAAATTCTCCAATTATAATATATGTAAAAATAATTATATTTCTTTGATAACATATCATGTCAAATATAATATATAAAATAATGTAATAAATGCATTGGCTTATTTGTTACTTATATGTATCACTTGTTACTTGGAAAACTGGAAAAACCACCATCAAGCTGCAGTTCTAAACAAATATCATTTGCATATTCTAATTAAATTTTGGGTTTTGCCAACAAATTTTCCCAGTGCAGATATCAAATAGGAGAATATATGATGAACTGTACTTCTGTATATTGCATTCATTTTCAACTAGTATACCCTTTCACTTCTTTTAAACTCACTTCTTGAATAATGTCCTTGTGACAGAAAAATCAAAGGATCTGTTCCTGAGGATGACTGCGTAGCTCATATACCTTTGAGTCATCCCAGGGCACACGGTAACATAAGGCTGGGTCAACAGACCCAGAAGTTGTAACAAGTGGCTAAAACAAGCATATTCCACACTGGCTTCCTGTTATCTCAGTTTTTCTGAAAGCATAAGACTATCCAAGTGAATACTTGAACTATAAAGACATTTAAATATGATGTCAATATCCACTGCACAAGGTGCTTGTATATTCTTCTAGGATAATGTATTCATAGAAAAAGATGCTGTGTTTACATGACTATGTAAAAGTTGACCTCATTAGTGGAAATTAACCTGGCCAACCCCACCATTTAGTGGCATAAGTAAAATAAAATTTTAATACTAAAATGGGTTATGTGAGTTTTTTCTATTTTCAGTAAATGACAAATAAAACAAAATATTTATACTAAAATGGTTATGTGACTTTTTTCTATTTTCAGTCATTTGAAGTAAAGCAACAAAAAGGGCTTTGCTTTAAGTATTCCTAATACATTCTTGTGTCTAGACATTAAGCCATGCACCTTTCCAAGCAGAAGCTGGGATTTAATTTTTTTAAAAGATGAAGATGGAAGTTTTTCACAAGTAGAAGCAGAAATCTTCAGTCTTTCAGCCACTCACATAAAATTTTCCTAAGTATGACTTATTCCTTTCTAATTAAAAACATGTCCCTAAATCTACACAATCGTATTCCCTGACACTAAGACCTTCTGCAAACTTTTACAAGCAATGATGAATACACAGAGAAAATACGACACACCAAGAAATAAATGCCAGCTTAAGACATTCAGCTTGGGCAGAATTTGAGTTTTCAGAAATCTTATGGGTCATGTATCAAGAATACAGCTTCTACATTTGTTTGTGAAGAAACATTCAATGACATTTTGCATCACATTATGCTTTAATTAATCACTTTTTTTAGAATATTTGAAACAAATTCAAATGAAGCAGGCTTTCTTTAATGATTTTCTTGCCTTAAATAATCTCTAGAGATTGCAGACTTGAATCTTGCCAAGAATGAAAAGCTAAGTGCCAAGTGATATGAAAAACCTACAAGGTGAAAAGAAAAATTCTAAAATGTAATGAGTAACAGACGATGATTCACAAATTACAAAGTATGTAAGTAATGCATCTAATATCTTAATGAACCTGCTGGAGGGAGCAGCCCCAGTCACCTTTCCTAAACACACAGGAAATGACAGCCACTGTATGAAAGAGGCAATGCCCAAGGAGCTCTGAGGCAGACAGTCTGGACCTGTAGTGACTATTGTAGTTGATGTTCTAATACTTGAATAGACAGGTAATTCCAGTTGTGCACTTTTTGTTTATTTATTTTTATTGTAGATTATGGCATTTTATAAAAGTTCATACACATGTCAAATATACCATACTTCAACTCATCCTCACCACCATTCTCCTTTAGCCCACCCGACCTGCATTCCTAAAATAGTTTCAACAGATATAATTTGCCCATTGCATATACACATATGCAATATGCAATATGTGTATATAGTATTTGCACTACATTCACCCTCCCAAGCCCTTTTTCCACCTCTCCCCCCACCTACTGGTGTCAACCTCCCAGGCAGGACCTATTATACTCTCCTGTTCTGCAATTTTTGTAGAAGAAAAACAAAATGACATTTTTGTTTGTTTAAGACAACTATAAGGGGAGTTTCCTTGTGACATTTCCATGTATGTATGTATTGTAATCCAAATTGGCTCACCTCCTTTATTTTTCTTCTTTCTACCTTAGTCCCTTTCTTATGGTCATTTCAACAGGTTTAAAAATACTACATTCATTCTTCTATAGACAGTGCATCAGCCATATTTACCTTCTTTACTTCCTTCTTTTACCCTCCCCCTTGTATGTGACCTTTCTTGACATGATCTGTTTTTCATAATATTGCTGTATTTGTAACAGTTCTATATTTTACACATGATAGAAAACATGCAGCTTTTGATCTTCTGAATTTGGCTAACTTCACATAAGACAATGTTCACCAGTTCCATCCATTTACCTGCAAACAACAAGATTTCATTCTTTGTGGTTGAGTAAAATTCCGTTGTATGTAAATACCACATTTTCCTAATTCATTCATAGCTAGTGGGGCAACTTGGCTG